ATACTGTATATTATAGAACACTGTGGATTGCCGGCTTGTTCATACCAACAAAATAGGTTTCTTGAGAGAGGTACAATCCTTTTAACACACACACACACACACACACACACACACACACACACACACACACACACACACACACACACACACACACACACACACACACACACACACACACACACACACACACACACACACACACACACATACACACACACACACACACACACACAAAAACACACACACACACACACACACACACACACACACACACACGCACACACACACACACACACACACATATGGATAGATAGAAATATAGCTATAGGAAAAAATATATAGATAATTATCTTAATAGTAATTATGATTTGCTAAAAATATTAAATCAGCAATACTAGCCATGGTAATGATAATAATAATCATGATAATAATAACTAATACCAGCGACGATAACAGGAATAATGACATTAATAAGGGTGAGGATAATGGTGATAACTTTAACAGTGACGATGATGATACTATTAACGAAATGAGAACAATGATTATAGAATAAAATGAGTCCCAGTGATAATTACCATATGGCAATGGTGATAACAATAATGATGATAATGTCAGTGATAATAATTGTAGAAACTACTATTATGATCATAGAAATAGTAAATATAATAATAACAATGTTAATGATATTACAGTGAAGGATATCAGTAGTAAAAATAATACCGAATAACATTAACAATAATAACAGTAATTATAACAATGATAATCATATTATCAATAGCAATAATAAATGATGATAATTACGTTAATAATAATACCAATAACAGCAGCAACAATAATGACCAATGCCAATAATGATTTCTCAAATAATTAAATAGTTTCAAAAGTATAAATGGAAAGATATTTTTTGTTGTGTTCATAAAAAAACGAGCTGTATTTTGCCTTTTTTTTCTTTAATGATCGCAGAATTAATGGGGGTGAGGGGATGGGAATGAGGAAGAACAAGAAATTCCCTTTTTAGAAGTCTGTAAGATGATAGCAAGAAATTGGATTTAAGCAAAGGTAGGGCAGCAAAATGTACGAAAAGATATTTTAAAAGGGGAAAAAGAAAGAAGAAAAACAAGCAAGAGAGAGAGAGAGAGAGAGAGAGAGAGAGAGAGAGAGAGAGAGAGAGAGAGAGAGAGAGAGAGAGAGAGAGAGAGAGAGAGAGAGAGAGAGAGAGAGAGAGAGAGAGAGAGAGAGAGAGAGAGAGAGAGAGAGAGAGGAGAGAGAGAGAGAGAGAGAGAGAGAGAGAGAGAGAGAGAGAGAGAGAGAGAGAGAGAGATGAAATATCGAAACTCAAAGATTACCATCGAAGATCAAAGATTACCATTCCTATGAGTGATTATCGATTTCAGGTGAATTATGTGCCCTCATTTTCATCAATACGATTCTTATTCACAAGAATGAATATGAAGAAAGATCGAAAAAAAGGTTCGAAAAAGCCTCTGAAATTAATAACTAAGGAGATAAAGAGCAATCAAGTTCTCAGAGCTATGAATATAATAAAGTGGATATTTTTGAAATGTATAGTGCCGTGGAAGAAAAAAAGTTACTATTATAATATAATAGTAGTTACTATTATAATATATCGTAATATAATTACGAAAATTATGATGCAAAAGATATCATGTTCTCCATTATGATTTTCGTTAGTTTATCTTATTGTTAATATTTTTTTCAAGAGAGACAGTAAGATGAAACATGAAATGAAGTCAGCAGCCTTACGCTTACTATCACGCTCAGAAACACTGAAGTGCTACGTTTTCTGGTGAGCGACACCGTAATGCGAATAATGTAGCGGTTATAACAGTTACTGACGACTACGGTCTATGCCACTTTCACACAAAAGTGGCACGTCGCACTTGGCAAGTCACGAGGTACACCATTTTTAAAAGAAGTGACGTGACACGTCGCATGTGTCCCATGCTACCTGCATGCCTCTTTGAGATTGGACTTTCAGCGTGCGACTCAGATATATTTATAGCATATATATATGCCTCCTCAGACTGTGATGTCAAATCTAAGTGGAGCTTCACATCCAAAGTTATTATTAGCCAAAATAATATAAAACTGTTAAATTTAAATGACAAAAGACACAAACAAATACAGTGTAGCTCTGAAGTGTCTGAACAGACTTCCTATTCATCTTAGCAGCAGTTCAGATTGCTATATAATAGCCAACCTTTACATTACTGCATTCAAGGAAAATATCAATGGTTCATTGTTTAGAAAAAACGAATAAACTACAGGGGAAACTTTTCCCTCAAGCTAGATTTCTCAAGCATCAAATTGGTCTTACTGCAACTATCTGATGCTTGAGATAAAGCTGGTCAATCAAGCCGAGCAGCAACTTGAAATGTATGCTACATATAAATAGAGAATGGTAACAGCTACAGCAATATACGATATTAATTGCAAAACTGCTACAAAAATGAAAACGAAAGAAACCAAAGCTGTACTAAGATGTATTATATTCAAGTATTAATAACTAATATATATATACGTACATGCATACTTTCATACATACCTATATATATATATACACATATATATATATATATATATATATATATATGAACATATATATATATATATATATATATATATATATATATATTTGTATATATTTATGTGCACATATACATAGGGGCCGGAAGCGGGGGGGGGGGGGGGCAAGAGGGGCGAGCGCCCCCCACCCCCAGAATGAAAACTAGAGGGGCGAGAGTATATCTCCGCCCCCCCAGAAATTGCTGAAAAAATTATGCTTTACATCTGGTTTTACACGTTCACACAGACTAATAAAAATATACTATATCTCATTTTAC